ACATCACCCTGGGCACAGAGAGAACTGCTCCTGTCTGTGCTCCTGCACTCTGTGCAGATGAAGATGCCCAGGTGCTGGCGAAACGTTAGGAAACAAAACTTCAAGACCACGGCCACACAGCCCGGAAGACCCCCACCAGCCATCGTATGCCAGCCGTGAAAGCCTTCGACAATACGAAGGAGTATAAAGTTGGATTATTTGATCAGGGATAAATTATTTCTGGTAGCTTCTAATGGACTTTTTGCTGAACCAGGACTGAAAAGATGATGATTTCTGGATTGCATATAGATGAGTTAGGTTACGTGAAGAAGAGTTTTTGTTTGCAATTTTAAAAGGGGGTGAAAAGTTATTATGTTAGATTATTCACGGTGTGATGAAGGTTGGAAGTCACTTCTTTGTTATTGTTATTGTTATTGTTTTTGTTTCTTTTCATTTTTTTCCTCTTTTTTCTTGTACTTTTAAAATTTCTTACTTTTCTTTTATCTTTTGGTTTAATTTGTATTTGTTTTTACTATGTCTATTAAAAACTTCAATAAAAATTATTATAAAAAGAAAAAGTTAAATCAGCACACCTGGGGCATGGCAACATTTAGAGAACATTGGTCTACTATCTGCTTCACAGATGCATGACTATATTTTATATGCTTATTATATAAGTTATATAAAAATTAAGTATTACTAGTGTTTTAAGTCTATTCCCTCTTTTTAACTTACTTTAAGGCAAAAGGAGCATTAACTTTTTCAGAAAACCACATTTAGTTTACAGCTGGAGATTTGGTGCATTAGAAGTATGATTTCTATAGCAAATCTTTTTGCTTCCTCTCCTCCCTGTGTGTTCATTACACTCATTCATAACAATCATTGTACACACTATCATAAGAACTAGGATTTTGTCATCAACATAAGCTTAGTGAAAGGTCACCATATTTATCGGTGAATAACACACTTTTTTCCTTAAAATTTGGGGCTGAAATCCTAGCTGCGTGTTATACGCCGATACTCAAGCGGCAGGACTGGGAGAGTAGAGCCTTCATTTGAGCCAGGGTTGTAACCGGGGCAGCTCCGCAGAGCAGGAGGTGAGCAGTGGGCAAGTGAGCAGAAACCTGCACTGCCCATTGCTCGCCGGAGCGAAAACTGGTGCTCCCCGTTGCTTGCATGAGTGCCTGAGCTCCACAAAGCAGGAGATAAGCAGCAGGCAAGTGAGCTCAGGCGCTTGTGTAAGCGATGGGGAGCACCAGTTTTTGCTTGCTCACCTGCGCTCACCTCCTGCTCTATGGAGCTCAGGCACTCGTGCGAGTGATGGGGAGCGCCATTTTTCTTCGTTCAAAGAGGTGCTGTTTCTTTCTTATGTATTTACCTTATAAGTGGTATAAATATTAATAAACAAAAAGTTCAGAGCTCCCTTT